ATTATCTGTGAACGTGGTTAGCAAGCTGGCTTGGCATGTGTAGTACATATCATGCACCCAATAGCCGGGTCAAATGATACATAAAGGACCCCTCCACATATATATATATATATATATATATATATAGCTCTTGCAGCAGTTCATAGGGTTCAAATTGCGTAGGCATTAACGATATTCAGGCTCCCGCATTGCATGAAGGCGTGAAGCTATTGGGAGATTACGATGTCCGAGCTCATGTTTTGTGTCAAGGTATTGGAAGATTATAATTTCCGAGCTCCTGTTTTGCGTCCAGCTCGTGGGGAAGTGCAATTTGCGTGTGTTCTGTTTTGCGTCAAGCTATTGGGAGATTACAATTTCCGGGCTCCTGTTTTGTCTCAAGCTATTTGGAGATTACAATTTTATGAGCGTATGCTTTGCATCAGGCTAGTGGGAGATTACAATTTCGAATCTCCTGTTTTGCGACAAGCTTCTGGGAATTACAATTTCCAGACATTTCATTTGTTGATGCATTGTTAATGCTTGTTGGATGCACTTTTAATTTTGTTTTGATGCCTCTCCCGCAGGGAAGGGCGGAGGGGACGAGCACAAGGAAAAGCCAAGTTTGCAGAACGAAGCCAGATTCTCACAGTGAAAAACCTGGCGGGCATAGGGAAGAACCAGGTGTAAAAAGGAAGCGAACCCAGGAGCATGAAGGGCATGACGCCTGAAGCCATAGCCGCGGCAGGGCAGCAGGTGAGAGAGAGCGGGACCCTCACAGGTGCCCTTATACGAGGTTAAGAGGAGCCTGTGCCTCAGACTCAATCTGGCTGAAGGCTTCCGTTGAATCAAATCGGTGGTTTCGACGGCTTCTGGAAGAAACCGTCTTGGCCCGCCCCCTCCCCCTTCCGGTTCCAGGCATGATGTACTATTACCATGATTACTACTATTACTGTTATTATTGTGTAAACTGTTATTCTTGACTTCGACTTTTGCTGCTGCTACTGCGACTGCTACTGCGAATGCTACTGCTCTTGTACTGCTGCTGCGACTGCTACTGCTATCTCCGCCACGAACGCTACTGTCACATCTTCTGTTGCTGCTACTGCCACTTCTAAGAAGAAGACACAAACAGCCGTCGGCGGTGGTGGCGGTGGTGGTGGGCGGCACACACGTGAAAGTGCTGTACGTTTGGCATACCTCTGGCGGGTTCCAGGCCGAACCAAGCAAACAACAACAGCGGGTGCAACAGCTGTCAACATGGCCCAGAACGTCAATGTCTTGACCCGTTTGGAGGTGGCTGCGAGCTATGCCGGACTGAAGCAGCGGGCCTTGTGCGGCAGCTTAGACATGGCTTCCCAACTCTGAAGAATTCCAGTGTTCGGGACGAGGTCAGGAGCATGTCATACCTGCTGGATCTGCACAGGGTCATGCTGAAGTTGCTTGATTTGTTCTGAGCATGCTTGTGAACCAAAGCTGCTACTTCTCCACCAGACGCTTCCGACAGGCATACTCGCTTGGCCTCAGAAGAGCAACTTGGCACTGTCGCATCTTTTCACGCAAGCTAGCTCTGTCTTGTTGTCTGCGCGGACTCATTGCGCTGGGCCTGCAGCAGCAAAATTCCTAGAGCTCAAAATGCACAGAGTGTCCGAGCCGCTTCGGTCCAGCCGATCAACTGGATTGTTGGCTTGGGCGGATTCCGCGGCTGGGGGAGTCAGGTTAGGCCGGAGCAAGCATTCTTCTTCCCCACGCCAAAACCCACGGACACTGACACGTCTCTGTCAAATTTCTAATGTGTGGAGAATCAAAAGGTTCTGGGCAGATGTAACGGAGCATTAGGTTTGATGAGTTCGAAGTCGGCGGTCTCTGCGCCAGCGGATTAACTAAGGCTGAACCATGCACAGGGATCCTAGCTCGGAGAGTTTGCAAAGAGCGGGCACACTGCTCGTCCGCTTTTTCGCTCTTGCACACTACTCTGTGGGAGCTTGTCTGCTGACATGCATACCAATAAATTACGACTTCATTAGTTCGCACATTGCCCGATCAGTGCAAGCCTTGACAAGCTCCCTGCACAATCTGTGGTCTCTCGCGGCATCAAAGCCCTGCTTGTTCTTTGGACCGTTGGCATAAACCGCTTGCCGCCTGTCGAACTAAGATGGTTCCAAAAAACAAGTCTAAACTTGCTCGGCTTGGCCACACACGCTAGATTTCATTCCAAGCACTTTTTACGGTAAGTGGAACTAAAGCATACTAAAGCAGAGTGAGCATGTGTAGTATTGCAAGTCACTGCAAATCGACATCGACAGCCTGCTCTTGTCAAATCCTGCGAGTACCTCCCTGCGGCTCAAGAAAAGTGCCACTTCCGGGGAGCTACAAGTAAAGATGGTTGAGCGCATTTAAGCAAGTGCAGGAATTTTCGACAAACGAAAAGCATGGCTGTAGTGTTCCTGCGCTTGCTTGACGAGCTCATGCGGCTGCAAGCCGCAACGGGCAAGATGCCCCCGAACTGGACAATGGGACATCGGACCACGTCGGATGAGGACATCTCATCCTCTTAAGTCTTGCTGGCACGCCTCGCTGGCGTCGCACCATTGACAGCCAAAAAACTGTTCAGTCCCACCCGTCGTCCATGCCCATGCCGCCCATGCCGCCCATGCCGCCCATGCCGCCAGGGCCGCCTGCAGCGCTCACAGAACACACTACGCTTCGAGCTGCTGAAACACTGGAGTGATGCCTGCTGCCGGCTTCTCTTCAGGGATCTCCGTGACAAGACACTCCGTAGTTGTCATCAAAGAAGCCACCTGCAAAAAGGGAAGCCGAAATGTTGAAGCCCTGTAGGATGGCAATCATGAGGCTTGGTACCGAGGCGGCATCGGCGAGAGCACATCTGACCACTTTCGTTGGATCCTGATGTCTGTTGCAATGGAGTCAGACAACAAAATTTCACGTGTTTGAATCTGAACGCAGTGCCAACATCTAACGACTTTTCACCTGGACCGGTGCTCAAAAAGACAGCTGTTTGAAAGCAGTGATTCCCATTTTCTCTGGCTTTCGAGTCTGTTGAGCATCTAAAGCAGCATCAGTTTGTCTCGAGTTTACCAAAGTCGCTATAGCTGCTAGGTGGTTCGGGCTCCATGAGCATGAGCAGCACATCACCCATGGTGGTGCCACGAGACACACACACACACACCGGTGTTGGCATGGGTCAGCTTTGCAAGTCAGTGCTGCCGTCACGTGTGTAAGTTCCACACGATGATACCGTTGGCAATCATGTCGACATACCTCAAGTTTCCCGGGCAAAGCCGCTTGTCTCTGACAAGTTGTCGCGCCTGCTACGCTCTCAAGAACGACGGGAGGGCACTGGCCAGTCTGTGCGTTGTACCCAAGCCTTGATAGCCACACTGTCGCCGAAGCAAAATCGAAGCGAACTCAGAAGTACATGGGTCGGAGGGTTCCTGTTCTGCTAAGATTTGGGCTTTTCATCGCTTTGTTTCAACAGGTATTCCACCACGACCGCCCCTGCGGACAAGGCATCGAAGGAGTGATCTCAAAGCGTTGAGCCCAGCCTTCTTTCCCAGCATTTTGGACGATGGATGTCAAGGGAACCTCTGACTTTCACTGGCGTGGCTTGGGCTCGCAGGGGCTCGCAGGGGCTTGCAAGGGCTTGCAAGGGCTTGCAAACTCGCAGATCGGCTACGACGACAACGGGCTCCTGCAGCTCCTGCCTGCAGGGCTTGGCGGACGATGTCGCGGCCAACGTTGCGATCGAAGCCCCCAAGCTCCAGAGACTGGCGAGCCGAGGCCGAGAGACAGAGTCAAGCGGTGCGCTCGCCGCATTCGCTGCCTCCAGCTTCTTCGAGGCATAGAGGAGGGCGGTGCCGCCACCTGGCCTTGTTGGGGCCAGAGCTCTGTGAGCGTTGTCGATGCTACAACGATTCCGGCTCAGCTTCTTGCACGATACCCTCCTCGACAGCCGCCTTTGTGGCGTTGAGAGCGTCGTTCAGTCTATCCTGCAGTCTGAAAGCATTGCCGATGCGTATTCAGGGTAGCTCGAGCATGCTCGAACACTGGCTCAGCAAATAGTGTCGACCTACAGACCTACAAAAAGCCTCCTGCCTTCTAGCAAGTTCTTCGCATGGGAAAAGCACTTTGGAATTCCAGCCCCAGCAGAAGAGAGACCTCTGCCCCGATTCCTGTTGCAGCGTTCTCAAAATCTCAAAACTGGGAGACCCTACGTCCGTGGAGGCACATACTAAGTATGCAGCAAATATGCAACGACATCCACTCAGAGATAGCTTCGCCGGGAAACAGCAACTCGTGCGAAACTCAGCCAAACTGGGGAGGATTTCAAAGCACATCAGGCCATGCCATAAAAATACGTGTCCCTCCAGCGTGGACGCTTACTTAACGAACTGCGCATCAGAAGATCAGAAGCAGGAATGCACGATGACAGCTGTCCCGAGTCAGCATGTCCTTTGAGTATGAGGGTACCAAGTTTCAAGGTGTGAACATGTCCGAAACATCAAACGTCAGCAGTGTTGGCGGATGTTGGTGCTCACACGCTGGTTTGCGACTTTCTCAAGAAAACTTTGGGAGTGAAACCCTAGCAGGCGCTCGCCCTTGCTGTTACGCTATCCTTGCTGGCGGGCTGACCGAATCGCCGAAACATAGCTCTGACAAGTAGTATTTTTTCATCTTCGCCTAAGCAAAGCAAGTGGAGCACCGCTGCTGCTGTCACCAGCATACTCCAAGAGCGACCACTACGAAACACTGAGAGCAGGAGACCCTTGCAACGTGACCTGGTGGAGTGCCGCTACGGGGCACTTTATGGCAGCATGGATGATGCTTCGATTTGCGAGACTCTGCTGGTGTGTTCGGTTGGTTTGCAGCAGCTTGCGTCAGTTTGACGTCCTCATCCGAAGTGCAAGAGCCCGAGAGCACCCTTGTATGTGCAAAAATGTGAAACGATGCCAGTTGAGCTTCCCCTTAAATGCCAAGATGAAGACATGCAAGTAAACACACAAGACAGCAGGAGGGGGTGGATGGCGAATGGCTGGATGTGTGATTGTCAGCACATATCCTGTGAATGTGAATCCGCCGGGCACGGACCAGATCAGCACTAGAGTCACAGCGTCCACAAGATCACACTGTCGTGACCGTCGTCCGCGGCCTTGACTTCGGACACCTCCACTTCAGATGCACCTCCCACCTGGCTCGAATACATGTCTCCATTGAACCATCGCTTGGTCAGCATTGGCTACAGCTAGCTGTCAAAGTCTCAACTGAACCGCGGGTACGATGATTCTTGGTTTTGATGCTCGGATACTATGGTGAGCTTGCATGCCCGCTTATGAAGCTTTCGTGGAGCGTTCGCAGAGCATTTCGGGATGTACTAGTCGTCAGAAGCTGCTCAAAACTCACATTCAACATGTCCCATCAAACGAAGTGCAACTGGGAAGTTAACACCAAGAACCCGATGCACGCTCAGAACTATCTCAAAGGCTTCGACTCTTCTCCGACCTTGATCACGGCGACACCACCTGACAACTTGGCGAGCCGCTCCTTGAGCCTGGGCAGAGAGCGCGGCGCTCTCCGTTTCGCGACCCAGAAACGGCTGAGTTCAAGGCTTGTCCCGCTCGTACTCCGAAGATGTCACCTGGAACATCGGCACATCTGCAGTTGCCCACTGCAACCCATCGTGCTCAAGACTTCAAACATGCGTATGCGCAGCTGGGCATGCTGGGCCTACCTGTCAGAAAGAAGGAAGGGAGCCATGTACCCACTGGCACATGTCTAATGTAGAGAAACACGTAGCCCCTGCACTAAGCTTGCGTGCCGACGCTCTTGTCTGTTCTGGAAAAAGGTCAGGTGGTCTCAACGATCCATACGATTGTACTGGCAAGTTTTCAGGATGACCAATGATGGTGCAACTATGTATGCAACCACCCGTCCTTACTAAACAACATGGATCTACGCAGCATGGAAGGCGGACATCATGTGCACACCGGCAGCCGGCAGAAGCATGCAAGACAACTGCCTCCACCATCTTTAAGTCTAAGCCAAGTAGGTGTCCAGCCCCGTTAGCTCAGCCAACGACGCAAACACAATCAGTCTGAATCACGCAGCATGCAGTAGATCTAGTATACCCTCGCAATGGTGCCTCGATGGCTGCCTGGATCTGCTCGCAGCGAGACTGGATGTCGGCCTTGGGCACGACGAGCGATTGCTTTCGTTGCATCCGCCTTTTACTGCTTGTACGGCAGGCCTGTTCACCAGCACCGTCCAGAATGATAGTGTCATCCTTCCACAACCAAATTAAACGCATGGCCTCGAGCCTCGAATCTTCTCCTCGCACCTTTGTAACTGTGATAGATTTCGCAGTGCCCAGCACGGTGGGATCAAAGGTTTCATCCAGTTTGCGACCGGTGTCCTCACGGAAAGAAATTAAGGATCGCTTTCGGAACAACGCTGGTAACAGCGACCACAAGCAATTGCTGGGACATCCTCGCTGATCAGCTCTGCCCCAGTGAGCACAGACAGGTCCTGCACACAGATCCCTTGTTTGCAGAGTTTGGGTAGACCACGTGGTAGACCACTAAACCGGAAATCGCGTGTCGACGGCCAAACCCGTTTCGATTCGATCTTGCAGGGATTTCACCTACCGGGCCCCGGTTTGAACGGTGACTTTCATCAGAACATACAGTACCAGAAAATGACAATGAAAGGTGACGGGAAGGGCCAATATTCTAACGGAACTGCTGAAGAAAGAGTTCGCAGGTCAGCGTGGTACTTCTTGCAATTCCTATGGCCGCCAGCCCTTGCCCATTTCGCTTTCTGTAGTCAGAATTTCGCTGAGAGGTTCGGCCTTTGGCCTGGCACTCCATACCTTCGAATTCGTACCCATCAGGAGACAATGACCGAGCCTGGCCGGACTTGCTTAGTTGAGTGCTTGGCATGGTATTTTTGAACAACTCAATACACGAAAGCCGAGGTGGACTGCTTGGGGTCGCCTCTGCTTCCCCTGGGATGGCAATTTTATTCGGAACGACATTTTGAAAAGCTCTTAAAGACAGAAAATCGCAGAGCTTGAGCAGCGGATCTTCTGCACACACCGCAACATGCTCTTTGGTGCAAAGGAACTTCTAAGTACAGTGTCTGCAAGGCTTGCAACTGCAAGGCGCGTCGACTAGGAGCTCGTCCGCGATGACACTGGCCACCGTGAGGCCATAAAGGTTTCAAACCCGCCCAATGCCACAGCTACATCTAGCAGCTAGCAACCCGTCGCAGAACTTTAAACAAATGCGCCGACGGTGAGCTAGCCTCTGCTGATCCCCAGTAGAAATCCCACGAAGAACCCAAACATCTTGGCGACTCGGAGTGGACCTGCAGCATAGCTTTTCGATGATCGCCAAAGCCAGGTGCCTGAAGGCAGGACGGCCAAGTCTCACACGAAATCACTGGCAGTCTGTTACCCTACGCCTTCACAGCGCAGACCTGCAATCCGCCGCGCAGCTTGTTCACCACCAATGTGGCCAGTGCCTTCCAGTAAGTTCTTGCTCTGAGGTCTGTGGCGTCGGCACACTGCACGAGCGGTTTCTGAAGGCCTCTTGCTCAACATCCTCTGCGATGATGAGCAAGGGCTTCTGCGCCTTGCGACCGGCAGGGCGGTTCCACGAGTCACCCTTCACCTGAGCTCTACTGTACCGTCCGTGGGTAAGCATTCAGACATCATCAGATCGTCGCAGCGTGCCCTGTAACAATGCAAGCGCGACCTGAACACACCTGGTCTTGAAGGAAGACAAGCAGCTCCGCGCTCTATTCAACAAGCCTGTGTTTGCCTCCAAACCATCCGGGGACAGTGTGAGACCAGAACACCAAGGATCCAAACGACAAGATAGTTCATGACTGCAAAGACAGAGAATGTCTTCCTGCCGTCGAAGATGCCTTTCTCTTGCTTCTGTGGAGAGTCATGTCCTGTCGTGTTGTGTGTGCCAAGTGTCTTGGGTAGAAGTCCATTTCTGTCCTGCTGAGATGTGGTTGTAACGTGCCCGCGACAACGGATTTCCGAACTCACCCTTGTCTAAGATTGTCGTTTGCGGCGTCTTAGACTGAAATCAGACAACCTCACAGTCGCACACGTCGATGCTCAACTGTCGAAAACTGTTAGAGGCTTCCAGAAGATGGCGAGTTTTGTGAGCACATGACGAAACCCCGGTTCCCGATCCTAAACCAGCATACACTGCACACATGAGTCGCACAGAAGTTGCAGACGTTGCTCCAACCTTCATAGTGTGCTCCAAGACGGGCAGCATGCTCTGAACCTGGCAGAACACCAAGTCTACTGAGATGTACAAACAACTGAAATCTGAAGGTAGAGGCCCACGCTGAGGAGATCTTCTTGTCGTAGATGAGAACCAGCGGGTCTGCCAAAGCACATTTCTGTGCCTTCGAGGTGGTAGTGGTCACTGCAAGTCAGTGGTACACAAGATGGAATTATCGGCTTTCATTTCTGTACTCTGAGCGTGTCATCGTAGCAGCGGCATGGCATGTTTGACGGTTGGGGGGTGGAGGGGTGGAGGGAGTTCGTCCGAATCCGCACCTTCGAGTCCTGCTCATGATCAACCAAGCATTGGTGGCGGGCACGGGGGATGGGCGGGGTTGAACGGGTTGGCGAAGTGCAACCCCAAATCCGCAGGTGTTGAGAATTGTTTATTCGCTTGTTGTCCGCATCTCTTGCCGGATGAAGCTGAGCGCAAATATGGCGGCCTTCGTGTCCGTCACAAAATACGGGGATATGTAGCCGCGGTCGAACTTCATTCCCTCCACGACCTTCGACGAGGCTTCCAGAGTTTCACTGCTTCATGCCAAGATGTTCACGTCGGTCCTCCAATTCATGATCCAACGTCTTGCCTTCAGACACCGTTATGGTGCCATCCTGATCCGCGACGTGCTGTGCATGAGAGTGCAAGCAGCTTTGCTGACACGCGCATACACATGCAGACACCCACGTGCACACGACCACATGTGCAGCGTCGCAAGTGGCCGAAAACCAAACCTGTACTCAGATGTGTGGTTACATACATTTACATACATTTACAT